CCATTATCGCAGTGCTGTTTCGATAGTACTTTGATCTACTACTGAATCAGATAGATTTTGTGTTAATGCACAAGTAAGCGGTACCTGAGATGCTAAATGAACATAAAACCACCCCTAAAGCTTTACACGTCTATATATTAGAAGCTTAATACTCAGACAACCAGAAATCCAGAAAGAACCCAAGGGACAACGCTTCGTACCATATAAAGATCAAGAGATAGGTCGACACTTAGCTAGAATGGCAATACTAAGGAAAAATTAATGAGCAGGATTGTAGCCGGCCACTTTCCCTAACCTATTTATATTAGCTCAAATAATGATTTTTCACTTAGGCGACATCTGTGGGACAACAAACGAGCGTTCTGCAAATTTTGCCAGGGAGAATCGCTGACAAAAGCTAAGACATCCTGGCCCCTATAATCTAGAACAAACTTAAAAACTCCTGCAGATATATAGAAAAACTAGTTTTTGAAGAACATCTGACCCACGGAAGGTATTAATGGTATAAATTACACCATCCAATAAAAAAATGAAGGATAATATTTTAAAAGCGATAAGCGCGCATCCTAAAGAGTAGATGCACCCGCTAAAACGTAGAATGCTCAAGTTAAAATCGATTTTTTGAAGGCAAAGATAACCACGCCGTTACGATTCCTAATAATTCCTGATAAATGTTCTGTGCATTGATATTTTGCCGAAGCAATCCTAGAAGTACGTGTTCAGATATCCTAATTAAATTTGGTGGGCGCTATTTTCGTATTTGCGCGTCCTGTCATGCCAGGGCTCTCTTTATCCAATTTTGTAAATCTGAAGAGGAAGGTAGTTTGTATTTCTTAAGCATTCCTTAAGTTGGTTGACAGTGAGTTCCCATGTCTGAAAAAGGCAAGATCATTCAGCCCAGAGATGATACAAATGGATGAAAATCAAACACCATACGCCGAAGCACCCGCTGAGATTAGCCTCTCCTCCACACATGATGCGTGCATGGACACTGAGAGCACCAACGCGCCAATATTAGACATACCCAGCAAGACACGACCGAGTGATACTCCAATGAACCTGGCTC